CCTTGTCATTTTGGGATCATCTTAGCTTAGCTTGTAGCTCTAGTCTTTATCGTTTTTGTTCTTGGATGTATTATTAGTTCTATCATCTTTCACTGTCATTGTATCAAACGTAATTATATTTGGAAAAAAAATGGTTCTCAGTTATTGTCAAGGTCCAAGTTTGGTCGCTTTAGTGCAAAAACCGTCTAGAATTCCTTCACTTAAACCACTTTTAATGTTGACATTGTAGCTATTTGTACCTGTTTTGGCAGTCCAAGCAACACAAAGAGAAACAATGAGGAAGGGCGGGGGAGAGGTAAAAATAATAATCAGAAATGAACATTCCAATATACCAACATTATAAGAACTCTTAAAAATGCACAATAATTAAAAAAAACCCATGAAACCACACAAAACTAGGTAAAATTATGGATATCATGGAATTTAGTAGAATTACTGAAGTTTTTCCTATTTCTTATTTACAAATTCCAATATTTCTGAACAACTTTTCATAAACATTCCCTTTTACGAATTATGTGTACTTTCTTTTTTCATTTACTTATCATCTTATTGTCGTTATGATGTTTCTTTCAAATCTTCATTTAATATGATTTTTTTACTAAAATTGAGTTTCTAAAACAGCACACATATACTTCTCAAACATTCCAAGCGTTTTATTCTGTTTTTCGCCTAATTGGTCTTCAAATTAGTTGAGTTTTCAACAGAGGAAAAACTTCAAGGTTTGTGACTTTTGTTAGCATTATTTTTTGCTACCTGCGTTGCCATGTGTACAAAAACACGGTGTGTGTAGGTCTTGTGCTGATGGCGCAGCACTTGTGAAGTTGGTCGTATGGGAATCTTGGTGATGGCCCTTTGCTTATTAGTGGACAAGGTGGCAACAACCCTCTCTAGATCATCCTGGCTTAACTTGTAGTTCTAGTCCTTGTCGTTTATGTTTTTGGGTGTCACTTTTCTTCCCTTTTTAGAAGTGTTTTATATCGTAAGCTTATATCACTAAAATCGAGTTACTGGTTGTACATTGGTCTATATGTCTTTATCATCATTACTTTCAGGCTGGGCGAAAGCCTCCGTTCCAAAAGGAAAGAAAAAAGATTATGCATTGAATCAAAATAGTACTCCCTAAGAAGATATGATCGACGGACCACATGGGTTTGTACCCGTGGCTAAAGCGAGACACCATGGGACGGGGTAACAATGTGCTAGTAACTGATATGACAAGGACCTGGACGGTTGCGGGTTGTTTGGGGGTCGGTGTTGGAGATGCCCTAAGAACTCTAAACATGCATAATAATAGAAAATACTCTAGAAACTATGGGATTCCGTAAAATTATGGAAAACCATGGAATTTAGAAAAAAAATATTATATTTCAAAATTCTCATACTTTTGAAGAACTTTTCTGGAACACTCCATTTTCTAAGAAGTCTATATGTGTTCTATTTTTTTCATTGTACTTATTGTATTATTATCATTATGCTGTTTCTTTCAAATATTCATTTAATACATTTTTAATTAAAACCAAGTTTTCAAAAAAGCATACATATAATTTTTAAAATATTTCAAATGTTTTAATCATTTTTCTTGATTTGTCTTCAAATTAGTTGATTTTTTAATGAACAAATTCTGAAGTTTTCTAGAATTTTGGCTAACTGGGTTGCCATGTGTACAGAACCATGGCTCGTGTTGGTTTCATGCGTAAAGGCAGTGTGGTCCTATGGGAATATTGGTGATGGTCCGATTATCAGTGGACAAGTTGGCAAGAAGCTCAAGCTGTAGACAACCTTAGCTTACCTTGTCGTTTTTGGATCATCTTAGCTTAGCTTGTAGTTGTAGTCCAAATTGTTTTTGTTCTTGGATGAATTATTAGTTTTATCCTATTTCACTGCCATTTTGCCAAACATAATTAAATTTGAAAAAGTTATATATTTGGTTCTCAATTATTGTCAAGGTCCAAGTTCGGTCGCTTTAGTGTCAAAAGCGTCTAGATTTAGCCCATTCCTCCACTAAAACCACTTTGAATGTTGACGTGGTAGCAATTGTGTACTTGTTTGACAGTCCAATCAAAACCAAAAAAATACTCTACAAAAATCAGAAATGAACATTTCAATATACCAAAGTTATAAGAACTATACAAAATGCCCAATAATTAAGAAATACTTTGGAAATTACAAAACTTGATAAAATTATGAAAATCATGTAAAATCACCCAAATTTATTACTCCCACTGTTCACTTTTATAAGACCTTGAAGATATTTCAGACAATGTGCAAATCAGCCTATTTTGAGTTGTCTGTAACGACTTACAAAAGTGAACGGAGGGAGTAGTTCTTATTTACAAATTCCCATATTTTGGAACAATTTTGTAGGAACATTTCCTTTTTAAGTATTCTATTTTTTTCATTTACTTGTTGTATTATTATCTTTGACATGTTGGTTGCCAAAGATCTCGTGCTTGATGGTGGTGTGCTTGTGAAGTTGCTCCTATGGGATTATTGGTGATGGTCCGATCGTCTTGACGTGGTGATGCTCTTTGCTTATCAGTGGACAAGGTGGCAAGAAGCTCAAGCTGCACAACCTTCTCTGGCTTAGCTTGTAGCTCTACTCCTTATCGTTTCTGTTTTTGGGTGTCATTTTTCTCCTTTTTTCCAAGTGTTTTACCTCGTAAGCTGATATCCCTAACATCGAGTTACTGGTTGTAAGTTGGCCTATATGTCTTTATCATCATGAGCATTACTTTAAAGCTGGGCGAAAGCCTTCGATTCCAGAAGAAAAGAGAAAAATATTATGCACTGAATCAAAATAGTTGAAGATACGATCGACGCACCATAAGGGTTGGTACGCGTGGCTAAAGCGAGATGAAATGGGGGTAACAATGTCCTAGTAGCTGATAAGATGACGACCTGGCATTTCTACATCGTGAAATTTGGACGTGGTATTTTTAGGCCTAAGCTTATTAGGCAATTTGCCAATTTCGCATGCATACTAGCTGTGGGGAACAACCCGCTGTGCGTGCGTGGGCCACCCGCCAGTTGCGGCGAGTCAGTTGCGCTGCTGTGCCGCTCGCCGGAGCCGTGTGCCCGGAAGCTAATCAAGCTTTGGTTCGTTACCACTAGCAGCTAGCGACACGGTGCGCAGCCGGCGCCGGCAACGCAACAGACTGCACTTCAGACACCCGACGGGACGCCAACCGAAACAACCAAGCTTGAGCTACGGCCACGAAATCTTGGCGCCGGTCCAAGCTTGTAACAGATCCAAGCTTGTAAAGCTACCGGCTGCGGCACCTACGCGTGCAACTGATGTCGTCCCAGCTCATCTCTCTCTCTCTC